TTGTTTGGTGCATATAAATTGATAATTGTTATGTCTTGTTGGTGGATGGTTCCTTTTAACAGTATATAGTGTCCTTCTTTATCCCTTTTGATTAACTTAGGTTTGAAGTTGATTTTATTCAATATGAGTATGGCCACTCCTGCTTGCTTGCGAGGGCCATGCGAGTGGTATGATTTTTCCCAACCTTTTACCTTCAGCGTGTGTATGTCTTTTCCTATCTTATGAGTCTCCTGAAGGCAGCATATTGTTGGATTTGTTTTTTTGATCCAGGTTACTAGCCTATGTCTCTTGATTGGTGAGTTTAGGCCATTAACATTTAAGGTTACAATTGAAATATGATTTGTACTTCCAGTCATGTTTATTTATTTATTTATTTTAGTTTGGCTAGTTTTTACTTTTTGGTTATTTTCCTCCCCCTTTACTGAGATACCTCCCGCTGTTAGTTTTGGGCACTATTTTTCAATTCCTCTTCTTGTAGTATTTTGCTCAAAATGCTTTGCAGTGCTGGTTTTCTGGCTGCGAATTCTTTTAGCTTTTGTTTATCGTGAAAGATATTAATTTCATTGTCAAATCTGAAGCTTAATTTTGCTGGATACAGTATTCTTGGTTGGAATCCATTGTTTTTCAGCGTTTGAAATACATTGTTCCAGTATCTTCTCCGCTTTTAAAGTCTGTGATGAAAAATCAGTTGTTAACCTAATTGGTTTACCTCTGAATGTAATCTGCCTCCTTTCTCTCGTAGCTTTTAATATTCTCTCCTTGTTCTGTATGTTGGCTATCTTCATAATTATTTGTCTTGGAGTTGGTCTATTACGGTTTTGAATGTTTGGGGTCCTGTAGGCTTCCAGGATTTGGCAATCCATTCCATCTTTCATCTCTGGGAAGTTTACTAGAATTATTTCATTTAATATGTTGTCCATTCCTTTGGTTTGAATCTCTATGCCTTCTTCTATCCCGATGACTCTCAAATTTGGTTTTTTTATGACATCCCATATCTCTTGAATAGATTGCTCATGGGATTTAAGCATCTTTTCTGTGTTGACTATATTCTTTTCAAGTTGATAAACTTTGTCTTCATTATCTGATGTTCTGACTTCTACTTGATCTAGTCTATTTGTAATATTCTTGTTTGAGTTTTTAATTTGGTTTATAGTTTCCTGCATTTCTAGGATTACTGTTTGATTTTTTTTAAAGATCTTTATCTCCTGATAAAGCTCGTTCTTTGCCATTTGAATTTGTTTGTTTAATTCATTTTCAAAATATACTTTTATTGCTTGGACTTGCTGCCTCATGTCTTCTCTAATATTCCTTTCCATCTGAGTTAGGTATGCCTTGAGTTCTTTCCCTATCCCTGTTTCTGATGCTTCTAGGTCCTCCTGTAGAATTAAGTTGTCCTGCATTGTTTGTACTCCTTTTTTCCCTTGTTTTTTCATGATGTTCACGTTACTTTCCAGCTCTGTTTGATTGCTGTGTTTCTGCTCTCTTCTATAGATTTGTTTTGGTTTTGTATATCTCTGTTGTCTCTCCTTTGTGTTGGTAGACTATGCCTGCTAAAGTGGAATCCGCTGGGAAGGAATTCCTATGGCCGAACTCCTGTGTCGTCACCTCTCTGCTATGGCTGGCCCCAGGCTCCTTGCCGGGGTGTCCGAATGGGGGGGGTGGGACTGGACTGTCTCTGGTTGGTTTCAGCTCCTGGTCGCTGGCGGGCGGGCGGTCTCCAGCCGCCCAGTCACGCGGGCAGCGGGTGGGCTGTCGCCGGCGTGCGGGTGATCTCTAGCCGCCCAGTCGCGTGGTCGGTATTTTGTTTTAAAATAGTTTTCACCAGTTTCACTGGGGAGCCCATCAGCACAGTTCCTCATGCTATTACCCTGAAAATAAATTTTCCTAGGTTAATTTCCTAAGTTTCTGTAGGAGGAGTTCAGGTAGCTTGGTAAAGAAGGCTCGTTTCCTGGGAACTTGAGCGAGAAAATGGACATTTTTGACTAACAGGAGATAAACTAAGGAAAGATAATTCGGTAGGACAGGAAGATAAAAGGAAGGGAAACAGGAAGTCTGCATAATTATTTGGAGTCCTTATGGTTTTGAGATATTTTAAAAGGCTTGTACTTAAATGTTTTGAAAACCAAGTGTTTTTATAAAACATTCGTGTGTGGATTCTGTTGTTTTTCTTGGCTGCACTGGGCATTAAAGCTTGGTCCTCAAACATACTAGGCAAGTGCTCTACCACTGAGCTGCATCACAGCTTAGTATATTCATTTTAAAAGGAATATGTTTCTATTTTTATTTTATTTTTATTTTGTTTTTCTGATTTTAATATATTTTTGTGCATAAACACTCTTAGTTAAACCCTCTAGGTATTACTTAACCAAATTAGACTTTATTCCATATAACATTCAATTCACACCCCTGTGAGAAATTTTTTTATTGAATTTTAACTTTAAACTTGACAAGAAAAGTTTTCTAAAAGCAGTTTTTATTTTAACTAATTAGCTTGGGTTACTACATTTGAAATTGCTAGTGTATGTAGTGATATTTGTAATTTTATTACAGAGTAACAAGGTTATATGCTCTTTAGGAGCTATAAGGTTTGTGTTAAAAGCACTCAGTTATAGCATTGTGTTAATATAATTAATTTGGTTCCTATATTTTTCCCTCTAAACTTTGGTGCCAGTCTGTCTGAATCAAATGACTTCAAATGCAAATTAGTGTAGTAGCTGGGAGAAACGAAACTTCTGTTTGCTATACTAGTTCAGATAAAGGAGAAAGCACTAAGCATTGTCTGTGTGTCTAATTCTGTTTTCTTAAAAAGTTTTTTTTTCTTTAGTACTGTTTACCAGGAAGACATAAAACAGTACCCTTCCCATTTGGGAGCCGCTCTGGACAGAAGCTTTGTGCACACCTGTAAGTCCTGAGTAAAGAGGTGCTGAGCAGTTATTGTACCCCACAATACATTGGGCTTTACTTCTGCTTGGATTAGGAAGGTGTGGCTCCAGGAGTGGGCGTCACCCGGTGGGGTTGAGTTACACTCACCTGTTCCTTGGTAATCCTACCCCTTTGCCCTTTTTGGGATAGAATGTTCCATGGAACCTCCCCTTGTGTGTTCTCTATATAAGAAAAAAAGAATTCCAGTGGCTCTCTCTCTTTCTACGGACCCCTAAGGTTACAGAGCCATCCCTGTATTTTGAAAAGGTACTTCTGTGTGTTTGCATGGTTTCTTGGCCGTTTCCTTAAGTTATTGAAATAGTCAGATTTTGTGAACCCACCGTAGGTTGCCACCTCAGATAGGTGGTGATACTTCCCCTCTTCAGTATTTTTCTGGTATAAACTATAGTGGGCTATTAATACTTTCCAAGTGTTTTATTTCATTTTCAGTGTTGGATTTTTATAATTAACTCATCACATACTCAAGTCTTAAGTGTATGAGGAGACTTGTCAGATATGTGACTTGTGCAGAGAATTGTGAGACTAGGCCATTTAAATGACTGCAAGATAAACAGAATTGAAACCAGTGGATGGGAATGCTGTGGTCTAGAATCTGAAACCAAATATAGAAAGAGCTTAGGAGCTGGACAATCCTTGAGTACTAAGAAAAACCTTCAGTGGGCACAGAGACCTGAAAGCAGGAATATGTAATGTTTTTGAACTATAGAAGGTAACTTCCTAGAATGAAAGATTTATTTTAAGTAAATATATGATTAGAAAAATTGTGGTGGATCTTGAATGTGGAACTAGTGACTTAGCACTCTCTCTTTTGAAACAGGATAGTGTTATATTGTCCAGGATGGTTGTGAACTCTTGTGACTCCTGCCTCAGCCTCCTGAATAGCTGGGACTACAGGCTTACTAGTGTGCACCACCACACCTAGCTCTTTTCTTGCTGTTCTTTTGTGGTTAGTGGGAAGCCATGAAAACTTTCTGAACAAGCAAATGCCATGGTTAGTGATAGTGTTTAGGGTGAATTGAAAACTACAGGGCCTCAAGCCCAGTTTTCTCTCATTTTCTTTGTCCTTTGCTATAATGGAGGAGTATGAGTTCTATTTCAGATTAAAAAGTTTTTTTAAAGCCTACAGTTTATGTAATTCAGCATAAGTATCTCCATTAAAAATAAGGGTTAACAATGAACACATAGCCCAAATAATTCATGGGTGACAAAATTGTGAGATAGTTTGGATTTTGGTGGAGTCAGACTAGCTTGAATTCTGGTTTGGCCACCCACTGTGTAAAATTGAACAAATGCTTCACTCAGATGAAGACTCACTCTTCATCTGCAGAAAAGAGCAAGCAATATCACCTCTTAGTTTGTGAGCATTAAATAAAATAATGCATGTGAAACAGCTACTAGACTGGTTACTTGTTACCTTGTTACTCTGGTGAATACCTTGCTGCTATTAATTTTTACTGAAATTATCATTATCATGTACTAATTTTTATCTCATTTCCATAAAACAGTACATTCTGAATTTTGAACTTGTGCTATAGGAACACTTTTCCCATCTGATCCAAAGAATCTCTTGCCCCACCTAAACCTACTGGCTCCTTCTGGAGTTTCCTTTCTAGTGATGAGTCCTGCCTTTTTATTGAGAGCAGACCAAAAAGTGAGAATTCCTGGGTGCTATAAAGAAAGCACCATTTTATGGGCATGGTGGCACATACCTATAATTCCAGTGACTGGGGAGGCTGAGACCAGAGGATTGAAAATTCAAGGCCAGCCTCAGCAACTTAGGTAGACCTGTCTCAAAATAAATGAAAAGGGCAGGGGATGTAGCTCAGTGATAAAAGTATCTCTGGGTTCAATCCCTAGTACCAAAAAAAAAAAAAAAAAGTGCCACCACCAGTTGTTGCCATTTATGGGCAGATACAATAAGCTTTGGTTTTGTAGAGCACATGCAGTATTAGGTGTTTTGTATTGTTTTTTAAAGTATGTGTATGTTTTGTTATTGTGCTTTGAACTTTAGAGTGGTGTATTATTTAGAAATTTAGACTTATTTTTACTTTTGTCAGGTTCAAGCCGTTTTTTCCATATCAGACCTTGCAAGAATCTGAAGAAGATGAAGAGTATATCCATATACACCAGTGGGCACTTGCTGAAGGACGTCTTAAAGTTACGTTGTTAGAATGTAGCAGGTACGTTCTTTGTTTTGTTACTACTACACTATGGGAAAAAAGGGCTCTGAAAAATGTACCTAAGCAGCATTTGTATATATTCCCTTTTTTGTTTTTGTTAATTTATGTTGTATTGTTTACTTGTAAATTCTTTAATTGTAAATTTAGTAAAAGTCTTTTCTAGTGTATAACAAGAATAAAACATTTTAGAAAGTGTTCTGAGGGAGCACTTATTCTGTAATAATTCCCAAACTTTTTAGATGTACATACTTTGGAATATTTTTAGCTTTCTCTACCTAAAACTGTTGTAACATAATGAATGTGAGAATTGAAATAACCTGGCAAGTTGCATAGCCAGACTTTGAACCCTTCTGGGTTCAGAAATAATTTTGCTCCCACAAATTAAGTTCTTATCTTGCTTGAACTATTTACTACACTAGTTTTCTTATTTATCTTTTAACACTCTAGCTCCCAGTATAACAGCCAGAATGATCTTTTCAAAATACAAATCTAGTTGTCATTTTCCTTAAAACTCTTTATTTAATGACTTCCCCACTACTTCTAGGATGTGGACTAAAATCCTTACTTCCACCTATGAGTCTCTTATTCTATTCTTTCTCACCATCCTCTTCCCAGCCCCTCACTTATAATATTTGAGATAAATAGGCTGTCCTAAGGGAAGAGATTGACAATTTTTTTCTCTGAAATGCCAATAGTAAATATTTTAGGCTTTGTGAGTTGAGGTCTCTGTTGCAGTTCCCAGCTCTGCCTTGTAGATCACAGACATGCGAATGTATGGCTTGGCTGTGTAGCCGTAAAACTTCATATATGAATATCTTAATTTTCATGTGTCATGAAATGTCTTTTGATTTTTTTAACCATTTAAAACATTAAAAAAAAAGAATTAAAAAAAATTTTTTAAATGTTGATGAACCTTTAAACCAAATAAAATAAGCAGTGGATTGGATTTGGACCACTAGTTGTAGTTTGCCATTCCCTGCTTAGATATTTTAAAGTATAAAACCCCTTAAGTTGACTCTTCGCTCTTTCCTTGTCTTACCCCATTCTCTACTCCCTAAAACCAACCTTGCCTAGTTCAGCCTTAATGTCTTTCCTGATAGTTCCAAGTGAAATGTACTCTGTCTGCTACATTTTTCTGATGCTTGCTTTTATCATTTACTTGGTACTTATAGTTTTTATTTCCAAACCATAATAAAAATAAGCACTTGAGTACCAAGGTTTCATTTAAGTCCTGAAGTGACATTGCGATTATGCATCATTCTGTCACAAAGTGTGATTGACAAAGAATTCTTTTACTGTCCCTGCCCCCTCCCTCAAAAGACTAAATATCCTCTATATTTTGTAAAAGGAACTATAGTAAAATAGATGTATTAGGTACTATGCTCCGTATTTAGAAAAGACTAGTTCTTTTTTTGCCTTAGTATTGCTGGTGAGGTGAAGGATTGATTAATGTGTGTTAGCTCGTGTCTGTGTGACTGCTAGTTTTGGTGTTTCTTTGCTCACTGATGTTTTTGCTTTTCCTGTGGAACTACTCGAAGCCTTGCCACAGGGTAGACAGACATTATTTAGGTCTCATTGAATTGAGATAAATGGTACAAAGGAAAGCACAACAATTTGTGGAGTAGTTGCAACCCTCTTTATTTTAATAAAGAACTGCATAATAAATCTGAAAGGGTGCATGAGAAACCAGTAAAAATTCTTACAAGGGGCTGGAGTTGTGGCTTAGTGGTAGAGCACTTGCCTAGCATGTGTGAGGCATTGGGTGCTATCCTCAGCACCACATATAAATAAATGAATAAAATTAAAGGTTCATCAATGTCTAAAAATATATTTTAAAAAAAGTTCTTATAGGGATCAAGGTTGATGATAAAGAGAGAGGGATCTAGGTTGATGATGATGGATGGAGTCAAGGTGATAGCACACATTTTACTGTAAAATAGAACTCTCAGGTAGATTCCAACTAAAGAGGAGATATTACTAAGCATTATTTCAGTTTTTGTCTTATTTTGAGTGTAAATTCATCCTCTGTGGTTTATTGTCATCTCTGAAGCAGAGAATGTCTCTAGAGAAAATATCAGAACAAATAATAGTGCCCCTTTTTTTGGAGGAAGAACCAAAAGCAATGCTTATTTCACATATTGGAAACAAGTTAAATATTTAACACCTTGAGGAGTGTGTGTGTTTTAACCATAACTACTTAGTGATACAAAAAAAATTGGAAATAAATAGAATGGTCAAAATTTTAAAACAACACAAACCAGTTAAAATTAAGGTGTTTCTGTAGACGATTTGTCTGTCCATAAAGTTGTTTTGAATTAGCATGCGGTCATGCCTTGGCATTTCCTTTGTTTTTAGCATTTGGGCATGCATATTCACATTTCTGCTGTTTGAACAAGACCTATTTAAACCTATCTGAATTGTTATATCATATGGATTATTTACTATTAATTTTAGCTTCATATTTTTATTTGTTAAACTTTGTAGAACTTGAATCAAGTACAAAGAATATAACTTCAGTAATTGTTTCTCCAGATCCATAAGGTGGAATATCATACTCCTCACCCACAGGTAGCCATAGTTCCATGTGAGGACTTTCAGTTTTTAAAGTATCAATTTGAAATAAAAATAAAATGGTTCTGAGTGAGAACTTTTTAACTTTATTTTGAAGTAACTTCAGACTTACAGAAAAGTCTTTGAAGACTTTTATTGAATTTCCCTGTTGTAAGGTTTTGAGAGTAAATTTTGCCAATGTGGAAACAAATTAGAAATGTTAATAGAACACAATGCTTTTTGAAACTCTTAGAGATGGTAATTTTGATCAGAGATAGGCAGCTGAACCACAGTGCCTACCTTGTGGTAAGCCTGCAGTTGAAGTAGCTTCTGTTATTATTTCTCAAGATCATCATTATAGTATTTATCAAGAAAAAGGTCATTAAACAAACTGTCTTCTCTTTTGCATATTTTGTTGTAAGAATTAGAATTTGAATTTTATTAATTTAAAGGGTCTCATACTGTAAAGGGAAGTTCAATTCTAATTATCTGAAATATAGTTTTGAGATTCCCAAGCAGTAGCTTGGATGTGGAAAGATAATTTTGTTTGTAAATATTGCTTCCAACATTTTGCTTTTGTCTTATTAAAAAGCAATCAGTCTAAATGGTTGTATATTTGAGTTGACTAAAGCTTCTTTTTTTAACCACAAATGAATTCAATTGCTATATTTGTAGTACTGCTATTAAGAGGCTCTATTATTTTACATTAGTGTGGTATCATATTATTAAGATGATTAGTTTTTAATTTTAACCTGCAGTCCCTCTTCTATCTTGAAGAACTTGAGGTGTTTTTCAAAGAAAACATATACCCTTGTGAGATTAAATACAAGATAAATTGGATCAAAACAACCATATAGAAAAGAGATAAATTTTCTGACAGCCTTGGCAACAAAGGAAATTGATGAATTATTTAGCTCTTATTATCATTTTTTAAAAAATTAACTTATTTTTAATTGAAAAATTGTGTTTATTTTGTACAACATATTATTTTGAAATACATTAGATACAGATATAGATATATACACATTGTAAAATGGCTAACTCAAGCTAAGTAACCTGTATTACCTCACAAGCACTTAATTCAATTTTCTGATAAAGTATGCATGTCCTTTAGGAGAAAAAAATTCTGACTTCACATTCTAAGAGGGATGTGTCCATAAAGCTTTATGTAAGACATTGAATAATGTAGTGGATATATTTGAGGATTTGATTTTACTAACCCAATAACATTTTTTAAAACAAATTAAGATTATAGTCAATGAAAGCAAAGGCTGAAATCTTTGTTGTGTAAGAATCCCCTACTCCAAAGCAGTGTATTTCGGAGTGTCTGAACTGATTTTAAATAGAAGGAGATACTAATTAAGGTCAGTTCTTCACTGAGTCACACTTATGCTGTTCTAAAGCCTCTGTTTTCTTAGCAGCTTTTAACGTGTTATTTTTCTGGGTTCCAAAAATACATCTTTAAAAAACTTTTTAATGTTAAATATTATAAAATAAAGCAGTTGGCATTCTTTGTTGCCTTATTCTCATTAATCTGTTGTCATCATGGACTCACGAATTTCAGTTTTTCTCAATGTTTGTAATCCCTTATTGTCTGAACAAATGAATAAAAGTACTGATGCTGTTGGGAGAAGCAAATACAAAATACAAAATGGGAGAAGGACCATTTTAATTATTTTAGTGCCTAAATTGTCCCAGATTTGGCTAGTAGGAGCCCCTATCAAGCCGGCCCCTGCATGCTTATGACATGACCCCAACTTTATTTTTGAGAACTTCATTACTTTCTGCTGTAACAAGCAGTTATATGTTTATCTTATCTTCCCTCTGCCATAATCCTAGTATCAACTATGTTTCCAAAGAACCTTAGTTTTCTTTTAATAGAAATGGTGGTTATGGTATGGATATGAGATGTCCTCCAAAGCACCTGTGTTAATGCAGGAATGTTCAGAGGTGAAATGATTGGATTGTGAAGGCTGCAACCTTCTCAGTCTATCCTCGTTTGAATGGACTAACTGGGTGGTAACTGTAGGCTTGTGGGGCGTGGCTGGAGAAGATGGGTCACTGAGGTGTGCCCTGGAAGCTGCATCTTCCCTGTGGCCCCTTCTCCCCTCTCTCCCTGCTTCATGACCTCTCCATGATCTGAGCAGCATTCCTTCACTGGGCCCTGTTCCCATATTATGGTGCCTCATCTTGGGCCTAGAGCACTGGAATGACCACTTTGGACTGAAACCTCTGAAACTATGAGCGTCTAATAAACTTTCCCTCCTTTTAAGTTGTTTTTGTCAGGCATATTGGTCACAGTGTCATGAAAGCTGACTAAAGCAAGTCTTTGAAACCAGGATCTGGGGGAGCTGGAGTGGTAGAGCGCTTGCCTAGCATAGGTGAGGCACTGGGTTCCATCCTCAGCACATAAAAATAAAGTAAAGGCATTGTGTCCATCTACAACTAAA